AGTTGTGTTTTGCTGTGTTTTTTGCGATATATATATATATATATATATATATATATATATATAATTTTTATATTTTATTTTACCTTAATTTTATTTCAAGCAACAATTTTTTTTTTTTACCTTAATCTTATTTATAGTAACTTTTTTATGTTTATGCTTTAGTTAATTATAATAACTCTGCTGCAGGGTTTTTTTAGTTGATGAAAACCTAGTTAATTAAATCATGAATCATGTAAAATAAAAAAATACATAATTTTAAAATAAATAATTATTAAAAAAAAATAAAATATTTTTTAAATAAAACAAAATAAAAATAAAAAACTTAGTAAAAAAAACATGCAATATTTTCTTTGTTTACCTGCATGTCATGCAAACGTGAGCGAACTTGTTGTTAAATTATTATCTTAAGTATTAACTTAAAATATCAGGGAATCACTGCTTTAGAGACACTGGAATCAAAGCAAATCGATTAGAAAGATATTTTATTTGACCTGGAAGGATATTGAGAACCAAGTTGCACTAGCTTTGAATAACCACTAGGTGGCGCTCAAGGACACTTCAATGTAATGGACAGATTTGAGAAACATTATGTAAGTGTGATCGGTCACTCTCACATCACGCAGGAGAACATGATCGCCAGGATTTGTTCTCATCAGAATATTATTACAGACGTAATATTATTCACATATCATTAAACAAAAATTAAATGTGCCTCTTTATTAAATCAAATCACCCTTAAAAAGTTAATATTGTACATTTTTATTATTTAAATCTCTACAGAAAGTCATGGAACTTCAGAACAAGTCTGTTTTCATCAAGCTCTTATCAGGGTTATTATAGTAAACAAACTAAAACCATTAAAAAAAATGTTGTTACTTGAAATAAAATAGTCATTAACTGAAATAAAATAAATATATATATACAAAAAACAACGTTTTACTTACTTTTTAATTATTTATTATCATGTATTATTTATTATTAAAACTTATTTTTAATATTTATTATTCTCTGATGTCAGAAAATGGTTGCAATGCAGGTAAACTAATAAAATATGTATTATTTATTATTCTCTGATGTCAGTTAATGCTCACGACATGCAGGTAAACAAATAATATTTTTATTACCTTTTAAATAATTTTTTATATGTTTTATTATTTATAATTCTCTGATATCAATTTTATTTATTATATTTTTTATAGTGTTTATTGTAAAAAAAAAAACTGACAGCAATGTTATTATAGTTAAACTAAAACCATTAAAAAAACATTTCGTTACTTGAAATAAAATAGACAATAACTGAAATAAAATAAAATATATAAAAAACCTTAAAGGGGGCATAACACACACAATTTCACCCAATCTCGTGTTAATCTTGAGTACCAATAGAGTATTACTGTCTCCTTCATATCTCCAAAAAGTCTTTAGTTTTATCATATTTATAAAAGAAAGATACAGCTTTACGATTCTCTCTGGAAAAAGCCAAGCTCCTGGAGGCGTGCCGTGAAAAACTTGCCGAAGCGAAGGCAAGAAAAAGTGCAGTTTGAGAGATAGCTCCTTCATTGCAATGGATGCTAAAGGCTCGACTGGTGGTTGTGAAAGAGCTCTTAACACCACCTCTAGGTCCCAGAGCGAAACTGAAGGTGGACGCGAGGAATGCAACCTCCTCGCCCCTTTAAGAACACTCACCACCAGCGCGTGCCTACCGATCCATTTCCCACCCAGCGGGGAACGAAACGAGGCAATAGCGGCCAGTGTTGATGGTAGACATCCACTATCAAGCCTGTACTGTAGAAAACGCAGAATATCCGACACGGAGCAAGCAGCCGAGTTGATATGAACATCACGGCACCACAAACACTTCCCATTTTAGAGCATAGAAATGTCTCGTGGAGGGCGCCCGTGCCTCCGAGAGCGTATCAAGCATAAGAGAATGCAGGGTGGTCAGCTCTGATATCCCCGAAGCAGCCACACATGATGGTTCAATAACTCCGGGTTGGGGTGCCACACCGAGCCGCTCGTTTGAGACGGCAGATCCTTCCTGATGGGGATCGGACAGGGCAGCGCCACCAGCAGCTTTGTCAGGTCCGGGAACCAAGGCTGGTTCGCCCAGTTCGGGGCAACGAGTGTCACCAAAGCCTCCTCCTCCCTGATCTTGCATATCACCAGCTGCATTATCTTGATCGGAGGAACGCATACGGCCTGGCTGCTGGCCAGTGCGATGTCAAAGCATCCCCTTCCAGCCGGGAGTGAGACAGGGAGAAGAACAGCGGGCAGTGCGCATTCTCGCTCGTGGCGAACAGATCCACCTCCGCTCTCCCGTAGCGGGTCCAAATAATCCGAACCGACTCGGGATGCAGCCTCCACTCTTCAGGAGACCGGGGATGTGCGCTGCTCTGATGGAGAGAATTTGACGGTCCGTCCATAGCAGGAGATTCGCTACCTGCTTGTACCGAGCCTTGGATCATACGCCCCCCTTGGTGATTTATGTACGACACCACAGATGTTGTCGGTGCGAATCAATACATGTCGCTGTTCCAGCTGCGGCTGTAAATCCTTTAGAGCTAAGAACACTGCTTCCAGCTCCAAGTGGTTTATGTGCCACCGGCTCTGAGGTTCTGACCACAGCCCTGAAGCCGGCATGCCCTCGCACACTGCTCCCCATCCGCGAGTCGACGCGTCTGTCGTGACCATGGCACGTGACGTCATCAAGCCCAGGGGAACCCCCCGGCTGGGGAGATCTTTGCACCATGGCCTCAGGGCTTCGATGCAACCACGGGAGACCGCGATGCGCAAATGGTCCGAAGTCCACGCCATCCAAGGGGCTCGAGATTTCAGCCATAACTGCAGCGGGTGCATGTGTAGTAAACCCAGATGACATACTGATGCCGCTGCCATGAGTCCCAGCAGCCTTTGACATTACTTCAAGTGATCAGAGCTGCCCAGTCTGAAATGGTGCAGGGAAGACAAAATGGTCGCCGAGCGCTCCCGAGAGAAGCGACCGCGCATCTCCCCCGAGTCGAAGCACACTTGTCAGATACATTATAGACTGACTCGGGGTGAGAATGCCCTTACACACATTCACACATAGCCCCAAGAACTCCAAGTGACGAAACAGTTTATCTATATGGCTGTCTATAGTGTGTTCCGTGACTGAGCTAAGATCAGCCAATCATCCAAATAATTGAGAACGCGCATCCCGCTCGCTCTGAGGGGGGCGAGAACTGTGTCCATGCACTTCGAAAAAATGTGCGGGGCCAAAGCCAGCCCAAATGGGAGAACAGAGTACTGGTACACTGTGCCTCGAAAGCAAATCTCAGAAAGCGTCTGTGATGCGCTGCTATCTGAATGTGAAAGTAAGCATCCTTTAAATTCACGGACGCAACCAGTACCAGGGGCGAATTTGCGCCAGGATCTGTTTTATCATCCTGAACGCACACTTGCAGAGTGCTCTGTTGATGGGCCTGAGATCTAGAATCGGACGGAGTCCTGCATCTCTCTTGGGCACGATAAAATGGCGGTTGTAAAACCCACTCTCCAGCTCACTCGGAGGGACTCGTTCTACCGCTCCAGGGCATTTCAAGCCAATGTTAGAGACTTCACCACGCCGTTGAAACGGGGTGATCTGCGTCTGAATTCAAGGGCGTACCCATGCTCTATCACACCGAGTAACCAGCGCGAGATTCCCGGAATAGTTTTCCACGCGCTCAGGAACTGACATAGCGGCTTTAACGGGTTGGGCGGGGCGAGGGGCGCTACATTGACTGAGTGAGGAGGAAAGAGCTCTTTTGTGCACATGTATGCATTTTTTAATGCATACATGCATCCTACACACACATCAAACACAAATTTGAACAATTTTGAGACAGCTTGGGGGCTGGGCCGATCGCGTAGGCTACTCTTCCCTCCTCTCCGGGCTGTCAGGACGACGGCTTGGCAGCTGATGGCGGGCGGGAGTCAAGCCGCAGGCTCCTTCGCTTTCCGTGGTGCCTCTTCCCGGGTCCCTTTACACTTTTCTCCGCACATTCGGCTCCTGGCAGCAGGGGTCGCGGGCCTGGTGTCCCTGCACTGCGATGTGCCAAAGAAGACCTCGATCTCGCGGTCTGCTGCTGGAAAGCGTGC